GGGGAAATATGCAGGAATTAAGAAGCATAATTTGTAGGTACAAAATAGACATGGGGATGTTAAGAATAGTATAGGAAACGGAGAAGCCAAAGAACTTATTTGCACGACACATGGACATGAACTAAGAAAGGAAGATTGCTGGAAGGAAGATGGGTACTGCACAGATGGGGCAAAGGGAAAAAATTGGGACAACTGTAATAGCATAATCAAAAAAAAACTAAAAATTATTTAGTTTAAAAAAATAAAATAAAATAAAGTAAAAGGGAGGACTATTCCAAGCTGAGAAATCAACACCAACAAAGTGGAGGCATAAGAGAATACGACATGCTGGGAAGAGTGAGAAACAGGCATGGATCAACAGTCCTTGGCTTATAGATCCTTCATGGTGAAAACCAGTCATGGAAATCCTACTCTCATTTTTCAGAGAGAAGGATGGAGCAGGAGAAATTATTATAGTAGCAGATTGGGCCCAAATAATGTCATACCTAGAATGTCTTCCTGGGGCATTTGGACCTTAGAGGCAATAGAGAGCTGCACATGGTTGCAAAAGAGGAGATACATGATACTACCTATGTTCCAAGAAAGAAACTGTCAATAATGTGGGGGAGACATTAGAATGGGGAAGAGAAAACCATTAGGAGTTTCCTGTAATATTTTAGGCAAGAGACAATGAATGGCTAGACAGAGCCAGTGACAACAGAAAGGGGTATGCAAAAAGATATCCCAGAGGAAAATTGGCTGGATTTAACCACTGATGTGGGTGCCTCGAAAGACACTGACAGTTGTGGCCAGTAAGGAGAAGACAGAAATGGGAAGAGAAAAGGCAGCTAGCACTCCTTTGAAAAACACTATAATTCTTTGAAAAAGCAGTGTAACCCTTAGAGGTGCTCTGGGCTGCAATTAACAGAAGTGTTGTTAATCAAGATATCATTGTATGTTACCTCTCAAAAGAAGTCTGAAAGGAGTAGGCAATTCCAGGGAGAGTTAACTATTCAATGATGTTCAAAGAGGGACTAAGTTAGTACCTCTGAAATCCTCTTAATTTTTTCGTTATTGTCTCAAACAGTGTCAGCATCAGCTCCACTCCTCACATGACAGCATCCAAAAAAAAGGACTTCTCTTCCCCCATCTGTGTCTACTGATTAGGGAGAGAAGTATTTCCCAGAAGCCTTAAGCTGACTCCTTGCATGTCAGAATGTCATCACTGTCTACCCTGAGCTACCAGGAAGCTGAGAAAAGAAATATCCAGGAAATTGGATTATGATTACCAAGACTGATTTACACTATGATATATCTGCAGAGCCAAGTATATTACAGGAAGATCAAATTCAGATGTGTTAAAAAGGAAGCCAGTGTTACAGCTATTGAGTGGGTAACCAACAGTGTCTGCTGTTAGCATTTTGAACAAAACAATTGCTTTCTGGAAAATACGAATTTACAAGATAATGACATGATACTTGAGCATGAACGTATGTTTCTAATGAAAGCAAATCTCTGCTTTGGCAGCCTCAGAAAAAAGAGCTTAGCCCAAATTCCCTCTTCAATTTCACAGGATATTCTTAGGTCCTGAGCTTGGTGGGTCTTTACCTGGCCAAGCAGAAGGAAAGGATGATACAGAACCACTAAAATTTGTGACTTACACTGTGAGAACTCCTGGCAAAGCGAGATGGTGATGCAGTCTCAGGTGCCAGCAGTTTGGGGAATTAAAGAATATTGATTCATTTCCTTCACCAGAGCTATTTAACCCATTTATGAATGTCCAAGTTCTATGTATCCTTTAATGTTCAGCTCAATTTTGGCTTCCTTCATCACACTTTTCCTATCACCAGCCAATCTGTACCCACCATATGATTTAACACATTCACAGACATCTTTCCAACATTATCAAATCCAGTTGACCTAAATAGCTACCAATTTTGTCCACTTCTCTCCAGTTCCACTGCTGATAATAACTGCTGATATTTATTGGGCATGTGCTACATTAAGGTATTAACATATGCACTCAATAGCATGAAAAAAAGATAAAAACCATAAAAAAGGACCATTAAAAAATAAAGAATGCAATATCTGACATAAATAATACACTGGAAGGAATAAACAGTAGGTTAGATGAAGCAGAGGACAGTATCAGTGTTTTGTAAGACAAGTATGAAAAAAATATCCAGGCAGAGCAGCAAAAAGAAAAAAGATTTTTTTATAAATGAGGAGAACTTAAGAAACATTTTGGACAACATGAAACATAACAACATCCTCATCATCGGAATACCAGAAGGAGAAGAGAGTGAACATGTGATCAGGAACCTACTTGAAGAAATAAGGACTGAAAATGTCCCTAATCTGGTGAAGAAAAATGTCACACAAGTCCAGGAAGCTCAGAGAGTCCCAAACAAGTTGGACCCAAAGAGGCTTACACTGAGCCACATCATAATCAAAATGACAAGGCTTAAAGGCAGAGTCCTAAAAGCCACAAGAGAAGAGCAGGTAATTACCTACAAGGGAGCACCAAGTAGACTGGCATCTGATTAGTCAACAGAAATATTTCAGGCCAGAAGCAAGCATTATGAAATATTCAAGGTGATGAAAAGCAAGGACCTACAACCAAAGTTGCTTCAGCCAGTGAGGTTATCATTTAAAATCGAAGGAGAAATAAGGAGCTTCCCAGACAAGAAAAACTAACTCTGAATTCAAAATGCCCAATACTATAATGCTGACTAGAGAATTAATTTTAATTCACCTTATTTTGAATGAGCTTTAATTAATGGTTTACAAGTAGTAAATCATTACCTTCCTTTGAGCATAAAGTTGCATGAAATAAGGGATGAGGTCTAGAAGGGAGAGGGAGGAGGTTAGAGGAAGTTATGTCCTCTCTCTCTGAGATGCTACCCAGACCTGAACTTGAAGTGGAGAACTAAGCTCCCAAGACCCCACACAACTGGTTCCATCACACAACTACATACTGTGGTTACCCAAAATATAATCCACCCACTACCTATGTTGTAATTTCCTGGGACCTTTATTGGAATGTACTTCCTAGGACCCACTCCAGGCCTACAGGTTCAAATTCTCTGAGGATGATGCTCTGAATCCAGCATTTTAACAAGCACCCAAGATATTTCTAATTCATCCCAAGGCTTGAGAACAGCTTTCAGAGCTCAGTAAAAATATAAAGATCTCAATGATTCCTCATACTTATTTATTTCATGATGATATAATTTTCTGTTTAGAATCTTGAAAATGTTTAAGTAAATAAGATATTTATCTCAGCAACTCTAAAGGCAAGGCACTCCCACTTTCAAAACGAGGGCTACATATGACATGTCTTCCTTTTGTACACAGAAATCAACTGCTTTGCACCCAGGAGCAGAGCAGTAAACAGTTGTCAGTTCAGTGATTAGGACATTTTATACCATAAATAGAAACCACTTGATTAACTCACCTTTGTGTTCAATTCCTAGTTAATTTTATCTTGTGGGGGAATGACATTTTTCCTAAATTTGTTACTTCACTATGTTTTCCAGTTAGGAATAGACTTTCTGACTCAACTACTAATTGCATATTTGGGACACTCTTTTATTCTTCTTCTGTACAACACCTAGCAAAAGTAATTTTTTTTTTAGGTAAATTACTTCCTTTTCTTATTCCTCACCACTGGTTAATGCCAGTCCTCAAACTTACTCTCTTGGCTGCTCTCCTACCAATTAAAATTTTGGATATGGGGAATTAATTTTTAAAAAGAATCCCAAGTTGAACAGCTCCTTGTGGTTAGGCAAACACCTCTGATCTTTCCCCAGTTTAGCAGTCTCTGTTCCTTTGCTTCCTGGGACTTGCCTTGAGCCTAAGGGTCCCCTGAAACTTCAGGGGTCAAATACACAGGCAATGATCCATCAGTCTTCGGGTTTATGGGGGTCTCCCCATTTGGGGGAGCTCTGAGAGTTTGATTATCTTGGAAGCACAATAGCAAGCTCCCTGAATATGCACAGAGAATATTTTTTTAAGCACCATAAGAAAACAGGGTTTAGTTATCCCCAAACGCAAGAGTCACAAATCAAAGCTGTCACTGACTCTGAAGAATCTTTAGTCAGCAATAGTAGCTTCAAGCTGACAAGTCACAATACCTGTTCTTTCGCTAGCCAAACTGGTAGGAAAAAGCTCAAAAATATCCCATTCCCATCTCTTATTTTCTTCCTCTAAGAATGAATGCCTTTCACTTGTCAAACTGGCCAGGCCAGTACTGACAGAGTAACCACCGATCCGTATGGAAGAGTAAATATTAGACATTAAGTTATCTGTGTCATTTGTAGAAATCCTGATTTTGGAAAAGGAAGTGTAGAAGACACGCTCGTAGAAGACATTTTGCACCTTAAAATGGAGCTGCTTGCTTTGAAGCAAATGGCTATGGGTGTGTGTTGGGGGAGTGGGGTGGGTAATTTCTCTCAGACTATCCTTTCTAGCATTACAAGCTGTCTAGTTTGAATTGTTATTAGTAAGTATATTGTCTGTTGAATGACCACGTGAATGAAATCAATACTTTGCTTATTCTATGCGTGTAAAGGACTAAATAACACTGATCAAATTTCCCTTCCTCTGTTATTCCTTTCACAATATTTTTTCCTAGTGCCTAGCCTGTGCCAAGCACTGTGCCAGGCGCCACGTATGCAAAAATGAATGAAACAAGGTTCTGGTCTATTAATGATCTCTCAAGATTTGCGAGGGTATGTAGCCTCGCTACCTCTCCTGCTACAGCCTGGACGGCTGTCGAACCAAAGGCTTCCGGCTTCTGGGACTCCGGGCCTTTGGGAGCACGTTACTCCCAGGCTAGCCCAGGAACCTAACGCCAGAATTCTCCCGGCGTCCCCCAGCAGCCAAGCACTCAAGTTCAACTCCGGAGCCGCGGCACTCGCTCTGCACGGAGCGAACTCCGGGCTCGCAGGGCACCGCGCGAGACTCCCTTCACCTGTCCGCCCGCCCGTCGGGCTGCACCAAACCCCGCGCCCGCTTACTTTGCCGCTGTCGCTCACGCCGAGGAGGTGATCCCGCAGCACCTCCATGGGGCAGGTCCAAGTGGAGTGGACGAACGTCCCTCGGAAGATGTGCGCCAAGGGTGGCATCCGGGCGGCACACATAACAGCGACCGAGCGCAGCGCGGGGTTCGCGGGCCAAGAAGGGCGCACCGGATGGAGAGGCGCGGCGAGAGCTGCTGCGACTGCGGGTGGCTGCTAAGCGGGCACCAGCAGCTCTGGCCTGGTCCTGCCCCCGCTTTCCCGAGCGATCACCTGCCCCCTTTCAGGCCGCGCCCAGGGGCTGGCTCCCTGCCTCCTCGATGCCAATAAGATTTGCCTCCCGGGAGTTGGCTCCGCGCTCCCGTGGGTGTGGTCTTTCTCTCAAATCACCGCTTACGTTGCAGTTGTTTCAGTCCGGTGGCTGTCACCCAGCTAGGGGGCGGGAAAAGAAGGAAGGAGCTGAAGTAGTCGCGATTCCAGCCCTGTACCTTGAATTGGTCATTAAATGTGTTTTTGTTCTCCGTTTCCCAAGCCCCTCCACCTTTCTTTAGTCTGCACACCTGGAGTTTGCATCTGCCTGTTTTCTTTGTCCTTTAAACTCGTAGGGCCGTTTGTGGCCAAACCTGGGATTCTTCAACCTTTAGCACACACAAGATAACTGGCATAATTTCAGGCACAGTGAAAGGTAATTTAGGGCTACCAAGTTTACAGACAAGTTTCATTTCCAGCTTCTGCCAGCTGCAGAATGTGTCCTAACCTGTTTTTCAGAAGCATGTCTTAACAGAGTTACTGGGAGCTCCACCCCTGGAGGTTAATCTGGACCCCAAAGTACTTCTCTCTACCTTGAGGCCAATATGTTGGCCCTTCTGTTTATCCACAAGAAATTCCAATTCTAATTTTTCTCATACCTAAATTAATCTCTTAGATTTATTTCCCGTTGTACAAAGGGAGAAAATTAAATACTCAAGCCAAGTGGCAAGATATGGCAGCGTGGCATGGCTTAGTGGAAAAAGCTCTGGGTTAGGAACCAAGAGACCATAGTCAATGTTAGGGTGGTTGGTGCTGCGGGCTGTGAAAGAATTCGCAAAGGGAAGAAGTGGAGAGAGTAAAAGTTTTCATCTTACTGTCCCAAGACAGGGAGAGGGCTAGGTGAGGAGGTGTGCCCTGCCACCAGCCCGAGGGTTGGGGCTGTGAGCTTTTACTGGGTAATGGGGTGGCTGTAGAGCAGGAAGTTTCAGTTGGGCTGCAGCAGCTATAATCTTTGGGTGTACTGTCCAGTCTGGTCATGTGGTCTGGTGTGTCCTGTTTCATAAGTTCCTGGAGCCTCTGTGCCTTCAGGGCACTTGTAGTAATTTTCTAGTCCTGAGGATAAAGGTTCATAAAACAACTAGGGTCAGTCATGCTTTATGGCCCCAGCCATCTCTGGGGAAGAGGGCCTGAGAAAGTGGCTTTTGTCCTATTATTCCCTCCTTTGGCTTTTGAGATGGATTTATTCTTAATGACTTGGACCCGTTCCGGTTCTGGGGAGTAGGGACAAAGGTCTTTTCCTGGAACTATGTCCTGGGGGTTATGGATGTAGAGTTGTCTTTGCCCGTGGATCCAGGTAGGGGTTATTAGAAGGGGGAGAGTAGGACTGGACAGTCCAGAAGGTGAGAACTGTAGCTGGGGGTCATTTGCAAAAGGAGTCTCCTAGAGCTTGGACACTTTATTGAATGAAAGACATAAGGAATCTTAGGAGACATGGCCCCAAAGTGACAATAAAGAGAAGACCTGCGATAGCACCTAGGAAATGAGTCAGCCAAGAAAACAAGGACCATCTGGCCTTAAAATCCCAAAAGGGGAGAATCAGAGTAGCAGGTAAATTCTGTGTGGCAGACACCACATCAGTAGCTCTCAATAATTCCAAGTCAAGGGGTAAGAGAAAAAAAAAAATGAAAATTAGCTTAGAAGAAAACTAGAAAAATTAGGATTTAATTCAGTTTGCGGGTGAAAATTAGACATTGTGATTTCCATTGAAACATAATTTTTGTCCCCCAAATTACCCTCATTTTATCAAAGAGACTGCATTAAATCCAGTTTCAATTTGGCCTGATTATTTGCATGAACACAAAAAGAATAGTAATTGATCATACAGGCTCTTTCAAATCTGCTTTGCTGGAATTTTACAAGGAACCTTCAGACTGAGTTTTAGTCAGGCCTTCGGGGCAAAGAAGCCAAGCCACACAGTTGTCATTTGGCTTTGCCTGAAATACCTTTAAGTCTGGGTGGATTCCTCAAGGCCTTGAGGACCCCAAAATGTCTTGAGGTTCCTTCCTTGCCATCTTTCAGAAAAGTGACCTTTGTTCCTAAATCGGGAAAGATTGCCATGAACCAATGACCAAGCAGGGTACCCGGTCACTTCTCCAAGGGGCTCATATTGGCTTTGAAATTCAACCTTAATTCCTTAGAGCTTTCTGGTAACATCAAGAGTCCAGGCATGACTCTTGCTCATGGCATTCCAGACAAAGACTTAGTTAATAAAACCACATTTGGAAACTGGTGCTATTGTAAACAGAATAGATTCTTGTTGGATTTATGCACACAAACATATTGCCATGAAAATAATACTCACTCATTAAGAGATGCTGAATTCTGGAGGGATTAGGTAGGGAGAAAAATATAAATGTTCCAATATTGCTTATGAGGGTATAACTTACTAAATTGCTCTAGGAGAAAAAAAGTTTCCTTATATCTAGAAGACCAAACGATTTAAAATTTGCAATATTTTGAATCAAAGTTTTTGTCTCGATTATTTGCCATGAATCCAGTTATTCCTTCAAGTTCCACAAATCCTCATCTACATCAGATATGACTTGCTTAAATACCTGTAATTTAAAGTAAGTCAGTTCTTTTCATGGACCTTTCCAAAGACACATTTGCAACTGTGTTAGAGTAAAACAATAACTGTTTATAAATGACAAAATTTAAAATAACATGGTTATAGATTTGGTTATAATGCAACCAATAAAGAACTTTATTTTTTTGTAAGATATAACATTTCCAAGATTACAGTTTCTTGGTAAGAGATAATCACTATGAAATGACATAAAAGAATATGATAAAGCCCATATTTTTACATTCAACACACAATTTCAAAATATATAAAGACCAAGTAGTATGCAAGATTTTAAAACACAATACAGGACTTATCAGAAGTGTGCACTGAGCATTGGAAATGATTCATTAATTCCCAATGTATGGGTTACAATACTCAGAGTATGACTGCTTGATGTCCCCATAAGAAACCATCATCGTTGGCTTGTCCAGTGTCACTGACAGGACACCTGTTTCCCCGAAGAGTTTCCTGTTTGAACTTGGCTTTAACTTTTTGCAAGTTTCCTCCTAGGGCAGGTTGAAATTTCCAGAACATCTATTTTGATAAAAAAAAAAATACATACATACAAATAGAACATAGTTATTATTCTGTTTGACAAAGCTTCCTATGTAATTTTGAGCATATTAAATAGGGCTAATTTATTCAAAAACTTCTCTTTTATATGGAGAGAGAATAAATCCTTAAGGTATTCCAGGGGCCATTCAAATAACTCTAAGTCATTTCTCAGTTTTTAAAATTTAAACTTTGGGAAGGTTGTCAAATGTATTTAACTAAAAGATTATAACATGAACTTGTTGTAAAACAAATATTTATATTTGATAGTAACTTTAAGAAAACACTAATCAAATTTAAAACCAGTTTTGATATCAAATAATTTGTCCAAACCACAGGATCCTGCTTATTAGTATTTAATTTCTTTAGACCAATAAAACATTACATCCTAATTATACCATCTGGAAGCAGAAAATGTACCACATGTGATACACAGATAAATACATAGCATATACAGGCCATACACATGAAGACTGAACACATAAAGACCATACACATAACTTGAATTACTAATTATTGCAGAGAAAGCACAAGATTTTACTCATTAGCTTTGACATCTTTTAAGAAGACTGGAAAAGGGGATAGAAGGTCCTAAATACCAAGCAAGAACATCTACTGAAACTCTCAATAAAAGCTTTAAGGACTGTTAATGAGTGGTGGACAACATGTCTCAGCTCCGAGGAGCTGAGCAGCAGGAAAGAGCCTGGGTGGGGCTGCCATGGCCCCTGAAAGGTCAGAAACCTCTTGGTAACAGGGGAGGTAAGTTCTCCAAATAGAGGACCGAGAGTTGTAGTAATAAAAAATAATGCCAGGTCCCACCAGAGTCAAAGAATGTCACCAGAGAGAAATTAGGTGGAAGAAGGGGTACTGGAGCCTGAGGTTTCTTTCCTCACAAATCTGATACTTTAACAAACTTTCACAAATCTTTTGGCAACTCTTACAAACTTCCTTATCCATTCAGAAATAACCATTTTTAGAATAATTCAATCCTTGTCTTTCAAAATTACATCTTCCTGCCCTAAGCCTTCTACTATAAAACCATACAATTTCTTTCCAAATTAATTTGAACTTTTAACTTTTAGGAACATCAGTTTCCAATGATAAAAAAGTAAGCAACCAGCATTTCCTAGACTGAGAAACACAAGTTCCTCTATTGGCAGATGCACTCTCACTGTCAGGAAATACACCTCCAACAAAAAACAAGACATCTCTCTACAGCTCCAAATCTATTCTATAGCCAAAAGCAGATAGATTTAAATTAAATTGATTTGTTTGGGTATAGCTAAGGTTTCCCCTTTTTGATAAGAAATACCTTCCCAAAATACATCTGAAAAAAAATGGTGAGTCAGTCCTCAATTCGGGAGAAGACTGACATTGAAAAGGGAGCCTGGATCTAAAAATGGCCTCTAATCCAGCAACCCCATGGAGAGAGAGTTCTATAGCAGTCTTGGGGCTGGTACAGGGGTGAGGAGGGCAGTGGTTACTGAGGGAATGGCCAGAACAGAAATTGCCATGAGACCTAATATGAAGGAGGTAGCCAGAGCAGCACCACCCTGCCCCTGCACAGCTGATCCTCCATGGAGGGCAGAAGGTGGTGGTCAGTAGTCAGAGCCAATCTTTGCAACTGACTGGCCTGGGTAAATTCCTCACATAGATCTGCCAACAGCAACCAAAGCTCAACTACAAGAGAAAGCTATACTCAGCCCACATGAAGGGCAAACCTTGAGTATTCAGCTTGGGTCATAGGGGAGTCTGTGCCACTGGACCCTACAGGGCACCTACTACATTAAGCCACACTACCAAGA